TAAAACAAGAAGAAGAAGAAGAAGAAGACGACCATCAAATCAGGAATGGTTTTACAGGTGGTGCCCGCTGACATTTTTTCCCCTCCTCATCTTTTCTGACTCTTTTTCACCAGTTTTGCATTTGGCTAGGGTCACTGTCACTACTGTTAGCATGAGGCCTGAGGGCCCGCACAGGGCTCACTGCCCGGCACCGTGGAGCTCGATTGGCATTTGCCACAGAACACCGGAATTGGCAAGTCCGCCACTGGCGCTCTGTGCTTTTTTACAGATGAGAGCAGGTTCACCCTGAGCACATGTGACAGACGTGAAAGGGTCAGGAGAAGCCGTGGAGAACGTTATGCTGTCTGTAACATATTTCAGCATGACCGGTTTGGTGGTGGGTCAGTGATGATCTGGGGAGGCATATCCATGGAGGGACGCAAAGACCTCTACAGGCTAGACAATGGCACACTGACTGCCATTAGGTATCGGGATCAAATCCTTGCACCCATTGTCAGACCCTATGCTGGTGCAGTGGGTCCTGGGTTCCTCCTGGTGCACGACAATGCCCGGCCTCATGTGGCGAGAGTATGCAGGCAGTTCCTGGAGGATGAAGGCATTGATACCATTGATTGGCCCCCACGCTCACCTGACCTAAATCCAATAGAACACCTCTGGGACATTATGTTTCCATCCATCGGACGCCACCAGGTTGCACCTCAGACTGTCCAGGAGCTCAGTGATGTCCTGGTCCAGATCTGAGGGGCAGATACCCCAGGACGCCATTCGTCATCTCATTAGGAGCATAGCCCAACGTCGTCAGTCATGCATACACGCACGTGGGGGCAATGCAAATTACTGAATACCATTTTGAGTTGCTGTAATGAAATTTCAGCAAAATGGACTAGCCTGCCGCATCATTTTTTTCACTGTAATTTTTGGGGTGTCTTTGAATTCAGCCTTCTGTAAGTTGATCATTTTAATTTCCATCAAATGATGTGGCATCCTGTTGTTCCTAACACATCACCCAGTCCATGAAGAAGTAGCAGGATTTTTTCCCCATTGAGATCTGATGTGTTTTCAAAGTGTTCCTTTAATTTTTTTCAGCTATATATATATATATATATATATA